GTTACGAAAAAAAAATTCTTTTCATCATGATGTATAAAAAATTCAGTTAAAAATCGAATTTTTTTTCATGTGTAAATAATTCATGTTCAACTTGTGAAATTGACATTATCAACAACCTAGACGAGAAGAATAGGAAGTACTAACTAAGAAGTCATCTCTAGTGTTATAAATCAATAAATTAGATGAAAAGTGTTGTTATCATTCTCTCTTATTATTATTATTATTATTATCATGATTACAACCCAGCTATTCCTAGTGCTTACTTAGTATTTTCGGACATTACTTACTTACTTACTTAATTACGCCTGTAACCCCCAATAGAGGACCATAGGCCGCCCACCAGCAGCATTCTCAAACCAACTCTGTTGTCCTGGGCTTCCTTCTCCAGTTCTGTCCAATGTTTGTTCATCCCTCTCATATCTTTCTCTATTTCTCGGCGTAATGTATTCTTTGGCCTTCCTCTTTTCCTTTTGCCTTGAGGGTTCCATGTGAGGGCATGTCTCGTGATGCAGTTAGGTGCTTTTCGTAGTGTGTGTCCTATCCACTTCCACCACTTCTTCCTGATTTCCTCCTCCCACATGGGATCTGACTTGTTCTCTCCTACAGTACGTTGTTGCTGATAGTGTATGGTCAACGAATACGAAGTATTTTACGTAGACAACTGTTCATAAACACTCGTATCTTCTGGATGATGGCTTTGGTAGTTCTCCATGTTTCCAGTCCATACAGTAGAACTGTCTTGACATTTGTATTGAAAATTCTGATTTTGGTTTTGGTTGAAAGTTGTTTGGAGTTCCAGATATTTTTCATTTATTCACTTGAAACGTTCTCTCAAAATAAGAATTACGGTTAAAACAGGGAAATAGATTATATTTCAATAACATAGTTAGATGGAAGTAAAGAAGCTCAAAAAAAGGAAAAAAACCGTTCGTCTGTTTACATTTTTCTTACATGCTAAGATTCAAGAATGTTACCGCAGTATTGACTAGCGCTGATTGGATATGCGAGAGCCAATCAGCGTGCAGCAACGTAATCATGCTTTAATTCATTCAATCTATGTCCCGCTAACAAGTGTTATATATTGTGAAGGTACAAATAATTGTGATAATTCTGAAAATGTGAATGATAGGATTATGGAAATTGTTGAGTTATTTTTTTTTAAATCTGGGAGCACTGGACAATTGTTTCGTCCTGATATGAGACTCATCAGCAGCGGTGTGTATCTACGACTTCAGCTACTCACAAGATTTGAACTCAGGGTCTTCAATCTTACGCGCAAACGCCTACAAGTAGCGAGAGTTTTAGATGCGCACTGTTGATGAGTCTTGTACAAGGAAGAAACGGTGGTCCACAATACTGCCAGTTTACTGAAAAATATTGAAAATACTAGTCTTCAAAAATTGATCATTGAATGATTATTAAATGTATGAAGATTTAAACTGTATACATCAACTCATCAATCAGTGATCTTTGATTCGATTATATCTAATAATTCATTGTGTTCTCTGTGTGTGATCAGAAAATCCTGGATCCGAATTTTGTATTCGGACAGTTGAGTACATACTGTAGATGATGAGTTTTATACTAGAATATGAGATTACACTAGAAAATCTTTCATCAACTAAAACAAAAGTTTTATTTAATGAACTAGACTGAATTCAATTGAATGGTAAATAAATTTCATTGAATTGTCATGATTTTTTCAGTTTTAATTTTAATTTAAACCTTCTACTGTCAACAGAATCAATGAATATGAAGTTAGGAGGAAGCAAGTACTAATCTTGTGGTGGCCAATTTCTACGTGTTCTTAATCTTTGTAAATTAGTTCGTTCAGACAATCGTCGTTATTAAATAACGTCTGACGGTTTATAAATAATCAGAAGGTAAACTCGAAGTGTTGAATACGTTTATTTTGGTACACCACCACAAATAAGGATAGCAGACCAGAAGTAGACCGGGCAGACACAATAGCGAGTGAATGGGCGGCGAATGTGCGAATGTGCGAGTCATTTAATAAGATTAAAATGTTCGTATATATACAAAGGAAAATGTCTGAGTCATCGAGATATTTAAGAGATTAATATTAAAGCGAATAGGATGAGTAAGCGCGTAATCTGTGAGTAATGCTCAGTCCTATACAAGCTCATACAAACCACACAATAATAAAAACCAATGAATGGTACATATAAGTTATTGGTTATAACAAATGGTTTGGTTTTAATAAATTAATCGAAAGGGCTAAAACCAAATTAAAATATAAGCGAACTTGAATATATACATGGAGGCACTAACTACAATCTCATAAACATCAATCACATTAACATGTAACAACGATTTTTACATTTCTAAATTCAGTTTTACTCGTCATGATAATCTATAACTGTACGATTGACTTTCATGGTTGACAATTTGAAGACTGTAATAAATTCATGCTGAAGTTTGGTACTAACAATCTCAAAACTACTCTTTACTACTAGTATTGTATGAACATTTGTATTGAAAACTGGCACATACATGAACCGAATATTCATATGATATTGGAGAAGACTGAGGCAGGCAAGGAAGACTGTAGTATTATGCAAAATTTACACTCTGAGTTAGTTAAAAACGAAAACATTACATTGAACACCACTCTATTTGCACACTATCTTTGAGTCGTGACTTCCAACACTCCATCATCATTCTTCCATTCCTGTTGTTGCTTCCTTTACTTCCTGTTGGTACTCCATTTACTTCTTGCTTTTGCTCCATTTGCTTTCCGTTTTCCTCTTCTGACCGTGAGACTTCTTCTTCTTTCACGTCCTTTCTTATACTACTACTTATATCGTTCGTATAAGTAGCACACACTAAGAAATCGAATAGTTTTAAATTCAATCACATATAGAATCATTCATTTCTCGTATATACAAAGATAAACAACACAGTTGATAGATCTCACGCTAGACTAAAACCTCTAGCCTACTTACTTACTTACTTACTTACGCCTGTTACCCCCAATAGAGGAGCATAGGCTGCCCACTAGCAGCATTCTCCAACCAACTCTGTTGTCCTGGGCTTCAAAACATCTAGCCTAGGTTATTTGGTATTGATTGCACAGTATTCGATTTGTGATTAAATAAAAAATTGGGTTTTGTGAACAAAAAATTATTCCTTTTTCACAAACTTCCTAAAAACAACTGAGAAAAGCTTAATTTTCTAATTTCACAGGAATATATAACTTGTAGCAGAAAAAAAATATAGGCATATACGTGGGACATAAACTTACATTCATTCATTTAGCTAGCCAATAATTAATTATTTAATTAATTAATTAATTACGATTTTTACTTCCAAAAAAAAATCAATAAGCTAGGTTTGTCATTCATTCATTCTTTTTTTTTCTGTTGGAATTTTTCCCCTTACTTTCAAATTTCAGAAGAAAAAAAATTTTCCCTCTAGCTATACATTCCAATATTTTCAATTAGAGTTATGGAGATTAGTGTTTTTTCTACACATTTGAAATCATTAATCAATCAATCATTGTTACTAGACCATTATTCGAGACCTGGAAGCACTGAAGGACGGCTGTTTCATCTTGGTATTGGACTCGTTAGTGGTAGTGCGCATCTACGACTCCTGCGCGTCGCAGGATTCGAACCAGGGACCTTCGGTCTTGCGCGTGAACGCTCAACCTCTGGACCACTGTACCGACCGGCATCCAATGGTGTTAATGTCTAACTCTGATTGATCTAGGGATTTTTGCACGAACTCACCCATTTGTCTTTGGTAGTTGTTACTGCCTACACTCGACAGGGTTGAATTCCACTGGTCACGTCTTCTCACTAGAACTCTGAGAATTTCCTCACGAAGAAGCTAGTCACTAGTAAGCATATTTTACGATATTTTCAAACAGAGTTATGGAGATTAGAGTGATTTTACACATTTGCTGATGAGTCCCATACTAGGACGAAACGGCTGTCCAGTGAGTGCTTTCAGGTTTCTAATGGTATTCTAACAATGATTGATTAATAATTTCAAATGTGTAAATACATTTCAATATGCCAGAATTATAATTAATTTATGCTTAGGCAATTATAATTACTACTAACTACTACTATCACTACTACTAATGTTGTTATTATTGACGGTATCTTCTGTCAAGTTGTTTTCTTCTCAACTTATTCATTCACACTTCTAATGTTCCCCTCCAATCACATTTGGGACATTGACTAATTAATTTATTATTATATCCGGAAATGGTGTGTAAAGGTAAACAAAATTTTCATAATTCATGTATCCTTCATATTAAATAGATTTTATTGATTATTCATTGTTCAATTATTTCTTTGTTATGATAATTATTGTTCATTGATTCATTCTTTCTTTTTTTCATTTTGTTTTAATTTTTAATGCTACTCATTCGATTTTAAACTACTAACCATCCAACTATCCATCCATCCACATCCATTCATCCATTCATCTATGTGCTCGTATGTACTACTACACCCAATACACACATACATAAAACAACATGTACACACATACAAATAAATGTTCATTGAATTTATTATGATTAATTCGCCTACTATAATACTCTATTCAATTTCACATTTACTTATTTTAATATGTATAATATGTTTCCCATAATTATATATGTATATATATATATTCTGCATTCATCATTCTGTCACACCTGGTCGGTGATTTGTTCAAAATGATTTTTTTTATTTTGATTCGGTCGATTGTCGACTCATTCAATTCATCTTTTCACTTATTCGTATTCCATACATACATATAAACATACATACATACAAACAAACACACACAAACATACAAACACATACATACAAATACATACATACAAATGTGGATACAATGACGCATACAAACACATACACACACACCATTATAAATATATATATAAATATCTTTTTCAACTTGTTTAATTAGTCTCTTCAAAATCTGAACTTATCGATCGAAGCATGTTTTCTTCCCTATTCCTTCCAACCATCTCTCAAACAATGACCAAATCAAATCGTATAATTCCAAATCAATTAAATAATTTATTATTGCCTAATTTTATGCATTCCGATGATTATTATGCTACAACAACGCCAACACCAATATCTACTTCTCCTACTACTACTACTAATAATAATAGTACTACCGCTACTACTACTACTACTATTCCTACTAGTAACAATATAAGTAGTAGTGAAAATCATCTTAATCCTATGCATAATGCTCCGAATGGACACAATAAGATTTTACATTTACATGAAGATAATCTACATCCAACATCATCATATCAATCAGATCAAAGTATACATAGTAGATTGAGTCCATTATCTGGACCAATGAATGGTATAGATCCGTCTGGATCACCGCCAACAATTCATTCACCAACAAATGAAAATAATAAATGTAAAAAAGCAAGACATAGGTAAGTAGTTTGTGATTGATTGTTGTATTTATAAGTTAAGTATGGCAATGATTGAACTTTAAGAAACAAGGATGCTAACCGCAGACAATATAATGTCTAATTAGATATTCCTAAGATATGAAATTAAAGAAAATATCCATATAAAAATACAAGAATGAAATCGGTTTGCATTAGGATGCTGAAATACAAGTTAAATCGATATTACAGTTAGGTTTAGGAGTCAATATACTTGTAAACACTACTTAAATATCGATCGCAATAAATTCTAATGGTTAAGTACCTATAATAAACTGAGAAAAGTTGAGCACTTATATGAAAACAATATATTCTCAGTAAATTTTTATGATTTCGTTTTGTTTAAAATGAGCTGTACTGAGCGTTCTCTGATTGGCTGAAACTGTTAGCGGTTTCAAGGTCATTTGACTGGATGGTTTAACTTGCAAAATCCAAATTCAAATTCATTCAAACTAGGAAGCGGATCGTTTGATTAATAGCAATCCATAGCATTTTGCTGGGGATATTACCTTATTAGTACAATGATCTATCAGTTGAGATTCTAAATACTGCATGATTTGTCAGTAAATCACAATGTACTCCTTATTTTGTGTTAGTGGCGTAGTTTTTATCACGAATCAAGTGATCTAAATGTCCTAGGTTCGATTCTTGACAATATCGTTGATGTACAGTGAAAGGAACCAAGCAGTCCGGTGTGGTTTTCTATCCTATCCTAACTGTAATTACTGCAAACACAGATACACTAGTATAATTTGACAAGAACACATGGTTGACACGTATTCTCACCTACTGCATACTGTGTATATATTTAAAAAATAATGGTGGAAATTATTTCTCAAGGAGACTTCGTCATCAATACTTCGACTGTGTCGATCACATGAACATGTATAATTGTGATATATGTTTGTCTTGTCAACCACTGCACGACAAACATCTTCAGTTTACATTGCTTATAGAAAGGGAGAAAATGTTTAAAACGTGAATTTAAGAAAAAAAAACGGGAATTTTATAACTTGCCCAACTGTTTGTCTCATTATTATTGCTATTAATAGTTTTATTATTATTATTATTAATAATGTTATTACTAACTGACTGTCAATTAAAATTTTGAATTTCCCTCGCATTTTTTTTGCACGTCAATTAATAGGATTTTAAACCAGTGTTACACATTGTTTTACATGTACTATGTGTGTATTGTTTTTGGTCACCTTTTCTGTACGATTAGTACGAGTGTTTAATAAGCAGAAAGAAGGTATTTCGTTTATTGACAAGTTATTCCATGTGTGTGTATATGTGTGGATGTGTGTGTGTGTGTGTGGATATCATTAACTACTTTGTTGTTGTTGACCTTTACACTTTTATTGGATATTTATCATCTTATGACTGATTTGTAAAGTAACATATATTTTTTTTAGTACTATTGACCTTAATTTGTCAGTCATTACGGGGTTGTGAAGATTGTTAAGTGACGCATTTTTTGAAACCATGAATCGATCAATGTTAGACTAACACCATTGAAAACCTGGAAGCATTCACTGGACGGCTGTTTTGTCCTGTTATGGGACTCATCAGTGGTAGTACACATTATGGTTTCAAAAAATATGTAACTTAACAATCTTCACAATCCCGTAATGAAAAATTACATGTGCTCACTAGTGACTAACTTCGTGAAGAATCTTCTCCGAGTTATAGTGGGAAGTCGTGACCAGTGAAGTTCAACCTGTTTGGGTGTAGACAGTAACTACCGAAGACAGTGTATGGGGTTACGCAACTCCGTGAATTGATAGAAGTTAGACATTAACACTGTTAGATCCCGGTTTAGTGGGTGCAGAATTCATGGATGTGTCCCATACCAGGACTTGACGGCCGTCCAGTGAGTGCTTCCAGGTTTCTAATGGTGATCTAACATTGATCGATTCATGGTTTCAAAAAAAGTGTCTTTTTGTTTTGCTTGTACAAACAATTATGAGGATTGCATTAACTGACTGAATGCATATTTCATGTCTCTATATGCGATATATGTATGACTGTAGTTGATTTCAGTTTGATAAAGTTTTGTAATTTCTTTCTATTGGTATACCAAAACTTTACACGGTCAGTGTATAATAATAAGTTCTGGTTAATATAATTTATACCGACTGAATAAAATAAGGGGATATTTGAACGCAGGAGTTGATTTAGTGCTGCTTTAAAGGAAAGTTAGTGGATTCTTGTCTTACTAAGAATATTACCACTGGTATACTAGCATCTTCAGCTGATCAGTCACAGAATTGGATGAAATGTGTTTTCTCAACTTCATTACTAGTGTATCTACAGATATAAAAAAAAACCCATGAGTAATTAAATCTTTGAAACTTTTGTCTTACTGAATGAAATTTCACTACGCGACCGACCTCAAAACCCAGTACCTTCAGTTTCGCTGACCAACGCTTGAACTCTAGACACCACACAGCCGTGTTAGAAAAGTACCCATCTAAGATAATAGAAGATAGTGGCGCAATATTATACAATGGCTGAAATTAGACATTCACACCATTGGTCCAGAAGCTAAACATTCGTGTACGAAACTGAGAGTTCTAGGCCGATTCTTGGTCACTTAGTCGTAGATGAGCACTATCGGAGAGTCTCATACGAAGACAAGGTGGTTGTCTAGTGCTTTCAGGTTTTTAATGGTTATCTAACTTAGACTGTCTTGTGATTTCAGTGAAGTTCAACTATTCCTACAACATCGTACTAACTAACATACATAAAATTTTCTAATGACATAAGCATTTTCTCCTGTATTAAACTGTAGTAAAATGTGTCAGTGTATTCATTGGAAACAAATTTCATACTCCGATCATTAGAAAACTGAACATAATCATTTTGTGTTAGAATTAACTCAAGTCCAATTATAATTCTAGTGAATCTGATTCATCTCGATTATTTTTACTGAGAGTTCGTGAAATTCAAATTTTTAATGTATTGAGAAGAACAGTTTTTAAATCTTTCAACTTCAATATACTAATCATTTTATATTCAAATAACAATTCAAATTGTTTCAATACATACAAATGTATTTTTCATACTTTTATATATGGGAATATTGGTCAAATTTCATATTGTTGTCAGAATTTCATTCATACGTATGCCTAACCACCGACTGCCTCGACGAGCTATGTTTTGCAGAGTAGGAGTAGATTGGAAGAAAGTTAGGGGCGGCCAAACCAAAACATAGCAGAAATCCATGAAGTCACTGACAAGTGGACTGAGTCATGTTGGTAGATGTAGACTACCTGGTTGGAGTCCGCGAGACGATAGTCTTCGGTGGTTACAGACCTTGAACGACATGGCAGAGAATCGTTTGTAATGGCTCAGGTGCATCCACTCTTTGTGTACAATGAAATCCTAACCTTCTGCATTCCTCATAATCTCTACCATTCTCCTTCGAAATTTATCTTACTGAATTATAATTCTCGAATCAAATCTTCGCTCCCTAATCTTCTCCATTACTTCTAATACTTCTATTATTGCTATGACTCTTGGATTTGAACTGGCAGTTGCGTCTCTGTGCTGATGGGGCATGGCAACCTGAACTGATGTACTTACGTACAAAGTTGCGCGTTGTATCTGTCTGTCTGTCTGTCTGTCTGTCAACTATAATGCCTATTCACTGTGTATTATTAGCGCCTTCGAATCTGGCAATACATATGAGTATCCATTCAAATTGTCATATTGAATCGGGATAATGACATGAAAATATGAGAATCAATCTGATAAGAATAACAGTGATTATTAAAGTATCAATGGTAGAGGAGTAGGTTGGAAGAAAGCTAGGGTCAGCCAGACCAAAAACATGGCACAAATCCATGAAGTCACTGACAAGTGAACTGAGTCATGTTGGTAGATGTAGACTACCTGGTCGAGGTCCGCGAGACGAAAGTCACAAATGGTTAGAGACCTTCAATGACATGGCTCAAAATCGTTTACAATGGCGCAAGTGCATCCATTCGTTGAGCTCTCTCAAATCCTAATCTTCTGGATTCGTCAACACCTCTACCTTTGTCTCTCTAACCTTATCTCATCGAATCATACTTCTTGAATCATATCTTCAAACCCTAGTCTTCTTCATTACCATTAATACCTCTACTATCTTTGTCACTATGGGATTTGATATGACATTTGCGTCTCTTTGCTAATGTGGTATGGCAACATGAACTGATGTACATACGTACGAAGTTCTACGTTGCAACCGACTGACTGGCTGACTGGTAATAGAAATGATTAAGCATATACAGTATCATTCAAATAGCTAATTCATAGAGTAAAAAAAAACTATCGATCTAAGATAAACAGTAAATGTATCTAATCAACTGAGATTGATTCTTAGCCATATCACCCTGCTGTTTTGAATCACTACGTACAATAGCCATACATATATCGTGATCAGTTCAATTGTCAGTGACTTCATGGACTGATACTACAATTTAATTTGATCCTTTTCCGTGCTCGTCAGGTTAAGAAGAGTTAACCATCTCATTCGATGAAGATTTACAACTTTTTTTTAACATATTTGATAGCTTTACCTAGTACCCTTACCTCAATATCGCTTAGATGATACATACATGACATACATGCGCACTACTTCGATGGCATTGATTATCAAAATACTGATAACCTGTGCATATTGTCTACTTTTAATCGTATAGCATTCAACTTAAAAAAAAAACTATTTCAGCTGCATAATACACTGAAGATATGTTTTATTCATGAAAGTAATAGGAATAACACAAAATCCTAATGTACACCAATATGGATTAGATTAAATGATTCAATAAAATACATATATCATTCAACGGTCTATTCAATAGTGAAGATTGGACAATTAAACTGTAATGAAAGAGAACACAGGTGGGGAAACCGAATCGTATTTAACGAAAATTACAGAGTTACTTAGTAAAATTGGAAAACCATATCGTAAATCGTTAATTTGCAAAATATATCAGTCCATCATATCGAACTGGACTGTTCCTGTTGCAAACAACATCAATCCATTGTCACTATTCATGCGTTTCATACAAATTCCATTGTGTTCCCACTCTTCTTCCTTTCTTGATCTCCCCTCATATTCTGCTGACAGACATGACGTTGACACTCACGTCATATACTACTTATAAGTAGCTCGTAACCACAAAACAATCATTTGATGCATGCTTGTGTTTCCTTGAATTTCGACAGAAGATATATTTATGGTGAATGAAATTATTGATTTGTATCAAGTCAAATCTTGTTAAGTAGACAGTTGACAGAGAATCGATTGTTAACTTTCCTCCTCATTATTACTAATTACTTCGAAACTTTCCTGTTTTTTTTTAAATCAGGGACTTATTTTAGTTGGTTATCTGATAAAAAATTAGTAAAATAAACGCTGGAAATAAAGATAGTTCGTCCTAGTGTGAAACTCTTCAACACTGAGCACATATGATCCCAAAAGTGGTTGAATTCAAGACGCTCAGGTCCTAACCATCAGTTGAAACTTCAATCAGTTTAGAATATTATATAGCTATCACTTAATTCCGTTGATGATATTTGTCTTTAGCTTGATGTGATGACTAAACTTCCATTGGTAATGGGTGCTTACTATCAGTTTCGCTTTTAAATATAAGAAGTGTCTGTGGAATCTCAAAACTTAATTACTATTAAAGACCAGGAAAACAGAGTTGTTGTTTCTTGCTGGTATACATTTAGATTACTAAGTCAAGTCATCAGTGGTTTACATTTTCAACTTTTACTTAACTTATAATCATTGTACAAACATCTTCCAATGACATCAATGAGTAACTGACTCCGACAAGATACATTTTTTCTCGACTGGGTAGGACTTCTGGCTAGAGCTCGATTGGCTTTTGTCAACCTGCGTCACTTATGGCGTAGGCAAGATATCCGTTTGCTGACTAAAGGACGAGTTTACTGCGCAGTAGTTTGCTCCGTCTTACTTTGTGGCTGTGAAACATGGCCAGTGAGAGTAGAAGATATTCGTAGGTTACTGGTTTTCGATCATAGGTGTCTTCGAAGTATTGCTCTTATATCGTGGGACAACAGAGTGAGCAACGCTGTTATTAGGAAACGGGTGCTAGGAAAGAATGGCAGATCAGTAGATGAAGTGGTGAAACTTCATCGAGTGAGGTGGTTGGGACATGTGTCGCGTGTATGCCCAACCACCGACTGCCTCGTCGAGCTATGTTTTGTAGTGTAGGAATAGGTTGGAAGAAAGTTAGGGGCGGCCAAACCAAAACATGGCACAAATCCATGAAGTCATTGACGAGTGGACTGAGCCATGTCGGTAATTGTCGACTACCTGGTTGGAGTCCGCGAGATGATAATAATCGATGGTTAGAGACCTTGAATGACATGCCTCAAAATCGTTCGCAATAGCGCCGGTGCATTTATTCTTTGTGTCCTCTCAAATCCTAATCTTCTGGATTCTTCAACACCTCTAGTTTTGACTTTCTAAACTTTTCTCACTGAATCACACTTCTTGAATAATATCTTCTAATTCTAACCTCTCCGATTACTTCTAATACCTTTACTACATCTTCTACTATTGGATTTGAATTGACGATTACTTCTCTGTGCTGATGTGGTATGGCGACATGAACTGATGTACTTACGTACGAAGTTCTACGTTGCAACTGACTGACTGACTGACTTCTGGCTAGAACTCTGACGGTTACTCTCCAATACTAGTCACTAATGAACATGTTATTATTAGTAGTAAGGAGAGTTTTTATAGAGATTGTCAAAATTTAAAGCTCAGTTCGTATTTTTGTTCATGATATAATACATGTAGAAGAGTATCGATGTAAAATCTGAAAAGTTTCTGACAGATTATTATTATTAATAATATAATTGTTGGGGTCGTTAGATACCCAGAACTCACTTAGAAAAGGTCGTAATTTTTGATTTTATGTTTTCGTGCATTGGCTGATTAGTTAACCTTGAGATTATATTTCCCACTTAGTAAATCCTTGACTGTTATTGGTTGATGTATTATTTTAGTAAGCTATTTTTATGGCTCTCCTAAGGACGTTTCAATGATGTATATATAAATAAACGCGATTTGTGTGCTTGAAAAAGCTTCCTGTTTTCTGGAGAGCCTTGTAGAATACACTTTCTACATCTTGTCAAGACTTCTTCCTCTACTTAATGGGGCCTTGGGACGCTCGGATTAGAGAAGTCTATTCATATCACTGGATCATTTGTCTTCGCTCTTATTTACCGAGTAAGGTGAACTAGTAATACAATTCAAGCATATCGATTGATGAGCATAACAGTAGTGTAATGTTTTTCAATAGTTAATTAATTAACGATTTATTTGTTTATATTGTTTTTTTATAGAACAACATTTTCAGTTCAACAGCTGTCAATATTAGAAGCAGCTTTCGATAATTGCCCATATCCTGATGCTGTGACACGTGAAGATATTGCAGCTAAATTATCACTTAGTGAATCACGTGTACAAGTATGGTTTCAAAATCGTCGTGCTAAATGGCGTAAACAAGAAGGTAGTCAATTATCAACTAACGGTAACAATTCAAATAATAATAATACTTGTACTACTAATACTACTACAACTACTCATAATACTTCTTCCACTGGTACCGCCATTACTACTACTACCAATCATTTCAGTAGTATCATCACATCGACAACATCAATGACATCCTCTTCGTCCACATCATCATCTTCATCGAATTTAGTAATTACTGAAAATGATGAAGAAGATTTACGAATGAATACAACAAATTTTTTAGAAACACCTTTTTCAGCTACAACCACAACCACAACAACACCGACAGGTCGTAAACGAGTTTCCGGTTCAAGTGTACAACATCAACACCATCATCATCAGCAACAACAACAACAGAAAAATAATTATTACAATTATAATCATTTCAAACAAATCAGCACTGATACAGATATCACTATGCTAAATTCCATATCACCACCATCTTATTTCAATTTACCATTTATTACAAATGATCTTTTAAATAATTATCATCAACAATTAGGAAATTATGCATTACTTACTAATCATGCTAAATATCCCAACGCATCGAATTCCCCGCCATTACATAATAATGACCTTGAGAATTGTTCCAATCAAACAAATCTGTTCAATACATTCAATACATCATTAGAATTCATGAATTCACATTATTTATTAGATAAATCACGAATTAATAAAAATACTCGTAATAATAAATATCAATCATTTCATTCAAATTTAAATTGTCACATGAAATCACCTACATGTGAAAATAATCTTCAACAGGAACAGGAACAACAAGAGCATAAGCATCATCTTCACCATCATCATATGTCTGGTAGGAAATCCACTCCAACTACTTGTAAACAACGTAAACATAATAACAACAGCAACAATAATGATGATGGTGATCATCAAAATGATAACAATCATGTCGATGCTGTTGATCATGATGATGACGACGACATGAATAATCATAAGAATAATAGTAATAGTAGTAGTGATGACGCTGACGCTGATGATGCTGATGACAATGAGATGGATAAGTTTAAAACAATTGAATTGGATCAAACTAAAACAAGAGATTTACCATTCTCTGTTCTATCGTTAACCGCCAATAAAAACTTCACAGTAGATAATAATAATAATAATGATCATAACATCAATGATCATCCATCATTAGACAAATTTCAATCCTCGTCATCAGCATCATCAGTATCATCAACATCGAAATTGTTTTGTCAAAATTTGTTAAAATCTATTAAATCACTCCATGATATGAATACTGATCAGCATCATCATCCTGAAGAGAAACATTCCAATGTTTTGCATTCAACATTGAATGATGAGTTGAATTCATCAGTCAATGAATTAACCCAGGAGAATATTACAAAATGTCTATCGAATATCACTGATTTTAACGCGTTTATGAATGCTATATTAAAATCAAAATTGAATCTATTAACTAGAACATCAATGTTATCCGATTGTAATGGAACCACGACTACTACTACTAATCGTGGTGTAACATGTTCAACTACTATGAATAATGATAATTCAACTGGTAATGGTATGAATACTACTACTGAAATTACTACTGATATGTCTAATACTACTACTGGTACTACTACTAGTACTACTACTAATACTAGTGTCAATAACAATAGTACTATAAGTAGTAGTAGTAATAATAATAATAATAATAATAATAATAATAATGATAATAGTGATAATGATAACACTGTGATTGATAATACCATTCAACAGTCAATTTTAGAAAATTTAATCAGTTCTTGTAAACAATTCCCTTTGAATTTACCTTCTTCTTCTTCTTCTTCTCTAAATCAACCTGGATTAGATTTGAAAATGGAATTAGATATGAATAAACAAATTAGTGAGTAAATACAATTTTTTTTTACCTAGTATGTTAATTTGTTTGTTTGTTTTTTCAAAAAAAAATGATTATTTAATTAATTAATTAATTATTAGTTTTGATAAGGTGAAATCCAGAGTACTGATATTATTGATAGTGAAATGTGAAATTAGAGTGTTGATTGTTTCAAAGTGTTTTTCAGACATTATCATTATATATATATTCATTACAGGGGTTGTGAAGATTATTAAGTTACACATTTTTGAAACCATGAATCGATCAATGTTAGACCACCACTAGAAACCTGGAAGAAGCACTGGACGGCCGTTTCATCCTGATATGGGACTCATCAGTGGCAGTGCGCATCCACGACTCCTGCACCCCGCAGGATTCGAACCTAGGACCTTCGGTATTGTGCGCGGACGCCCTAACCGTTAGACCACTGAGCCGGTATCTAACGATGTTAATGTCTAACTTGATTAAATTCACGGAGTTGCGCAACCTCATACACAGTCTTCGGTAGTAGTTACTGTCTACACCCGAACAGGTTGAACTTCACTGGTCACGTCTTCCCACTAGAACTCGGAGAAGATTCCTCACAAAGACAATGAGTGAAGTTATTCGAAATCCTTGTATTGATCAGAGTTAGACATTAACACTGTTGAATTCCGGCCAAACGGTCCATAGGTTAAGCGTTCTCGCTCAAGACCGAAGGCCCTAAAAGTTTGAATCCTATGAGTAACAGAAATCGAATTCATCAAAGTGGTAGACGACAGTCCAACCAGAAGAAAATCCAATCATACAGAATGGAAAAGGTCACAAAAAGAATATAAGCAAATAAATGTCCATAATAAAAATGGTTGTCAACATAAAGTATATTACAGTCAGTCAGTCAGTCAGTCAGTTGGAACGTAGAACTTCGTACGTGTGTGCCGTACCACATTAGCAAAGAGATGTAATTGTCAATTCCAATCCAATAGTGATAAAGATAGTAGAGGTATTAATGGTAATGAAGAATTCTAGGGTTTGAAGATATTATTCAAGAAGTATAATTTAGTGAGATAAGGTTAGAAAGACAAAGGTAGAGGTGCTGACGGATCCATAAGATTAGGATTTGAGAGAACACAAAGAATAAATGCACCGGTGCCATTGCGAACGATTTTGAGCCATGTCATTCAAGGTCTCTAACCATCGATAATTATCATCTCGCGGACCCCAACAAGGTAGTCGAGAATTACCGACATGGCTAAGTCCACTTGTCAGTGACTTCATGGATTTGTGCCATGTTTTGGTTTGGCCGCCCCTAGCTTTCTTCCAACCTACTTCTACACTAAAAAACAAAGCTCGTCGCGGCAGTCTCTGGTTAGATATATGTAACACATGTCCCAACCAACTCAACTGATGAAGTTTCACTACTTCATCTATTGACCTACCACCCTTACCTAGTACTCTTTTCCTAACGATAGCATTGCTTACTCGGTTGTCCCACAATATACGAGCAATGCTTCTCAAACTTCTATGATCGAATACTATTAACCTACGGATATCTTCTACTCTTAACAGCCATGTTCCACAGCCATATAGGAGAACGGAGCGAACTGCTGCGCAGTACACCCGTCCTTTGGTTAGCGAACAGATATCACGCCTAAAGTATATTACACAAATAGTTAATTACTATTTAACGCTAATGTTATAAAGAAATCAATGAAACAATACAGAAATAATGATCAGTAATTAATAATTATCAAGGTGAGTGAGTGAGTGAACGATTGAATGAGTGAATTAAGCGTGAAACAGATAAAAGAACAATCAAAATGAATTGGAGATAAATTACAGAAAAAAAATGTATGATTGGCAAGAGAAAACATATCATCTTTCGTATCTCATCATAAAATACAATAGTAGTAATCGTAGTAGTATTAGTAGTAGTAATGGTCAGAAAAAATTAAGATAATTAAGTATTTCCAATTAAATGATAAACTACTTAGACCAAACCGATAATTCATAGACAGACAGATAGACGCATAACAAACTGAAAAATAATACACGATGTTTATCTCTAAACAGAAGAAAATGAACACACAGAGAGAGAGAGACAAAGAGAGAAAAGAATTAACCACAACAGATATGTATGTATCGTTCACCTAACCAGAAATTAATAGAGACACAAATTAACTAAACAGTAACACTGATACAAGAAGAATAGAACATTAGAACATTCATTCAACATTAATTAATTCATTTAACAAATTGAAGAAATAAAAAACCAACCAACCAACGAACAGACAAACAAACAAACTGTAACTCGGGTAAGCAAAGAAATAGATGAGACTAATGAAGCATTTGATTTTTTTGATGTGTGCGTGTGTGTGTGTGTGTATGTTGAACATCTTATCAATATCTCCTACTGAATGATTAAATTGTTTAGAATCATTATTGATTGGATTATTAATAAAGGGAAAAAGTCATCCACTGAGTATAGGAGTAGGTTGGAAGAAAGCTTGGAGGTGGCCAAACCAAAACATGGCAGAAATCCATGAAGTCATTGACAAATTGGACTGTGTCATGTTGGTTGGTAGATGTAGGCTACCTGGTTGAGGTCCGTGAGATGAAAGTAACCGATGGTTAGAGACCTTGAACGACGTGACTCAAAATCGTTTGCGATGGTGGAAGTGCTCTCTCAAATCCTAACCTTCTGAATTCCTCATCGTCTGTATTTTTCTCTTTCTACAGTTATCTCAATGAATTATACTTCTCGAATCATATGTTCTACTATCTCAACCACTATTTTGATTTGAACTGACAGTTGCGTCTCTGTGCTGATGTGGTATGTCAACCTGAACTGATGTACATACTACGTACGAAGTTCTGTGTTGTATCTGTCTGTTTGTCAGTCCGGGCAGATTCATTAATTCATCCATTGATGGTGAGTGTACACTACTACTTATCTAGAAATAGATTCTACTTATACGTACGTGTGTGTGTGTGTTTATGGGAGGGGATGGTGAAGGAACGAACATATGAGTTGTCCGAAAGATTACCTGTTGATGATTGAATGTGTGTAAGAGAAAGAGAGTGTACATATATGCTGGATTCTAGGATGCATGTTTCTTCCTTATCAGAACTTGTCAGCTTGATGGACGAGAATCCTAGTCCGAGACTTGAACCCAATACTGTTCACTTCAAATGATGAATGAAATTGATCGATTTCAGTCTCAATTATCAATTGAAACATTCAAACTACCAATACAAACAGATTAAACTCCACTCTATCGCATTAGCCAGTGGTTGTCTGAACTATAAGTGGATAACACCATGATGATGAAAGCGAACGGTATTGAGTTCGAGTCTCGAAATGAACATCAACTTTGGGATGCAGGAACATAGAACTGACGAATCCCATATAGGAAGGAACGCATGTCCAGGATTCTATTGTTGATTACTATCCATCTCTGCTTAAAATGCTTTTGATCTAACGGCTGTTAGTCACTCAAGACTTTTTTTTCGTATTGTTTGATCCCCGTTTGTAAGATGTACCTAGGATATTGACATTTGAATCTGAACCACCAAGTTTCATAGGCTGAAACTTTACCGTCTGCCTACTTAGGTGATCACCGATTAGTCCTTAGTAGTGATCGAATTGTATACATGACATTTCAATAACGGCCATTAGCCGAAGTCATTGACATTGCGCGCATCATTTTGAGAAATATAAAGTACTTAAAACCAAAAAATAATAATAAACTGACCTTTCATTGTGTACCGATGATATGTTATTGAGCATTATTACTGAAAATCATTTGGAGTAGAAAATAGATAATTGCATTTTTAAGTTAAATGTTCACTACTTACTCTCTTTCTAAACCAAACTAAACTAATACTTTTTGAAGAGATTATAGTTAGTAAGAATATTAATGAATTACTAAAATGTCTTCTTCTTCAAATAACTAAGATCTTCAGTGATTGGACTTTTTGACCTGAAAAGTACAAAGTTAACCTGCCGAGAACTTCTCGCCTAATGAATGACCTTGTACTATTGATCTCCCAAAGTTGTCACTTACATTCTATGGTCATTTATCTAAATCAAATGAGACGAATCCTATAAGTACAATTTCATTCTGACGCAATTCAAGAAGAATTATCATTCTACAACAATATTGACAATTAGAAAGTGATGTTCACATCTACACACACTTCTGTTAGTATTTGATATAATCGAATCACTAAATGTGAAAATTCAATATTTACACTGAGTTCAACTTGCAAACATTTCTTAGAATAGAGATTACAGTTGAGATGGTGTGGAGAAGATTTGTAGCTCAGGTGGATGATTGTGGGGGTGTTTGGTTCTCTGAGCTGGGTGTTTCGGTTGTGGAGCGTTCATTGTTCTTCTACTGAACAAACTACATCAGCACAAACTTCAGATAGAAGAAGTGAAGCATTCGAATTTCTCCATGTTTGACCTGTAGCTTGTTCTGTTAACCTCGATCTTGATTGACCCAATTTATCAACCAATCAGAGAAATCATAGATGATATAGGATCAAGAAACAGATCAAAAGGGGGATGCAATCAAAACAAAGCTGCAAACAACGACAGATTTAAGGTCAACAACAACCAATTAAGATCGAGGTTAACAGAACAAGCTACAGGTCAAACATGGAGAAATTCGAATGCTTCACTTCTTCTATCTGAAGTTTGTGCTGATGATGATGTTGTTCAGTAGAAGAACAATGAAAGCTCCACAACCAAAACATCTGGCTCAGAGAACCAAACACCACCAGCACCAGACATTACAGTTCTTGTTGAAGAAGTATTTGAAATGAATTCCACTTTTGACAAACAAATTTCATCATTCATAACCAGTATGTATTTCTTATGTATTTCTTAATTCTAACGTAAAGTAGAGAAATGTGAAGTTAACTATTTGAAAGTATAACATTCATCCACTTTTATGATATTCAGCGACAGTTAAACCAAACAAAGTAAAGCTTATAAACAGATGAATTATAATTCAGTAGCATAGTGTTC